GATAACTTCAGTTGAGCAGCACTATATAAGCCAAAGCATGATGATGATTATTATTAATTGTTTTATTAGACAGTACACATAGATGTTGAGAAATACTTTTTTTTTAGCAGCCATAAGCCTAGCGGGGTTTCCACAATGTGGAATGACAGACTTGGAGTTTTTATTTTTCTGTGTTGTCTGCAGAAATATATGCTTCAAGAATTTAACTTTTCAGTTCTTGCAGCATGAAAGAGATTTCCTTCTGTATCATTGAGATAAGAGCAACTATCACTTTCTCCCCACTAGAAAGGGAAAAAAATATATGAAGTGAACAGAAAGTCTGGCTTTGTCTATTGCCACCATGAAGCTGTCTCTGCCTCTTGAGATGTGTGGGGTTTTGTTTTGTGGGTTTTTTTTTTCCACATTTTATTACTGTCTTATGTAAAAATAAGGATCCTATGCTTGTATTTGTCACATTGTCCTACCTGAGCTTACTGACATGGGAACAGCAAGATCTCAGATAAGTCCTGGTTCTGCATTGCACAGTACTTTACTTATCTCTTTGTGTAAGCATCTTGGTTTTTTTTTTTTACTGTTCATAAAATAAATAGAAGTTTGCAAGAGTAGAACAAAGCATGTATCTGCTAAGCCTTCAATACTATTTTACATCACAAAAATATGCACACCCACCCTGCAATAAATGACCTGTTCTGCTCTTGAATGTCAACTTCACCTTTTGCTCAGTGGAAGTGGTGTGGTCCTGGTCTTGATTCCCTCCCCTCTCCCTTCCAAGTCCCCAGATCCTGTAGATTGCACATTCTTATGATAGAGGTAATGGTCCTTTTGGCTTTTCCCTTCTAGCTTGCTTAACAGTTTGTAGGAATGCCAAGAAATTATTTTTGCCTTCCACAACCCCTGTTTTGAATTCCTGAAAGACCTCATATATTTTTGTAGTATTCCTAATCTTTGTTGGCCTGCAAGGTGAGAGACTTGAGATTAGGAAATATAACCTTGTGTATCTGATTCTTTGAAGTGGTGGGCTTTTTGTGTTGTCAGCACAGAACTGTGAGTGAGCACTGCTGCCAGACCCATGCAGCAAACATGCTGAGATTGCCAGCACAGAGAAATTTATCTATGCACAGTTTTGGTTAGCTACAGAAAAGCTGAGGCAGTTTCAGGTATGTCATTGAAAGAGAAATCCCAGAAGTAACTGCTTGTTGCTGTGGGAAAAAGTTTTTCATTTATATTCATTCCATTCATGTCACAACCTTTATGAGATTGACTTGATTTCCCCCCTTTGTCTTATTTACAAAGCTTCCCTTTCTATCTATTTCTTCATTTGATACTGTCTAAAAGGGCCTTGAAAAGACAGAAAATAAAAAAAATAAATAAACCTGAGCACTATCAGTGTAACAAATTTCTGACTTGCCTGCCAAGGTCTGACATGAACTTCTTTTGCTTATGTGAGAGCTGGCAGGTAGATCTCTCTTTGTTGTTTAAAAGGAAGCGTGTTTTTTATTTCTCCCTGGCCTTTCGCTTTTATGCAAAATTCCCTTATTTCCTTATGCTATTAATATTTTCTCTGAATTTGAAGGAAGCCAGAAATTGCTCCTCTTTCATTTCCTTTTCACAAATCTCCTGATTCTTTGTTGTGTACTATAAATACCGTCTGACTGTTTCCAGTGCTCTACCCGGATATCTCAGCAAGCTGAAGAGCCAACTGAGGGCTGCTGCCTGCCAGTCAGATGCTGTAGGAGGATGTGTCCACGTGCCCAGGACAAGATGAGAGACATCCTGGCAGGGTTAAGTGTGCATGTTCACTTTGCCAAGTGTCAACTCCAATTACAGAATGCTACCTCCCAACATTTTTAAGAATGTAGCCCCTTCTAAAAGTTCATGGAGTACTTCTTAATTGCAAGAAAACTCTCTTACTTTTAATTTTTTATAATGTGAAGCATAAAAAATTTAACTCAAAACTTTTAAAGGGTGTAGCTTGAAATGTAAGAAGGTTTTGAGAGTTGCTGCAACACATCTGACTCCATACCCTGACTGTAAATTGGCACAACTTTTATTGTGCAATAGTTTATGTCATTTCCATTATATATCTTCTTAGATTCAAGAGAAATGATTATTCCTTTCTTAAGCTAGGCAATGTATCCTTGACTATTACAAACCACAGACTTGACTCAAACTCTGAAGACATTAGACAGAGTCCACAAAAGTGTTTTTAATGACCCTCACTGATGCCAGTGATCTTGGGACTTGGATCTTTTTTTTATAAATGGTACAGTCCTTTTCTACCCCAAAATAGGTAATGCACGAAGTTTAAAATGTGTTTGGCAGAAAATATAGACTGAGAAATAGATTCAGGATATACAGTGCTCTGGAGTCAGATTCACCAGGTTTACTGCAGCCCACTAAGATTAAATATTTTTACGGGGTATGTAATCTGTCCCCAGACTATAAACGCTAAGGGAACCTCCACTGCAGAACACCCAGTGAATCTGGTATTTGTAGCAGTCCTGTGCAGCATGCTTTAAAGTCCCTGTTTTGAATTAGGCATTTGGACACTCTGCTGTAACCCTATAAGCACTAACTTTCAGGGTTTGTCACTTGCCAGTGCATTTGCTCACAACAGCAACCAGGGGAGGCAGTTTCTTTTCAGCTGGGCCTGAGGCTAGCAAACTATCTGGACAGAATTTAGTTCCCTATAAACTTAATCTCCCCAACTTCTGTCTGTGATTAATTCCTATTAGTTTAAATTGCTTCCTGACGAGCTGATTTCTGTGACTTTTTCTTTAATTCTGCCCATTGAATGTTAAAAGAAAGAGCCAGTAGGGATATTCGGAAGTAACACTGCCTCTAAGAGGCAGAAGCCTGAGATGACCACTGCCCCGTATTGAAATGCCCATGGGAGCAGAGCCTTTGTGCCAGCCAGAGGTGGATGAGCCGTCTGAAGCTTCACTAGCAAGTCAGACCACCACTTCTTTTCAGCAGTTTTATAAACCATTGTGCTGGTCTAGACAGCTGAGGTTAAATGTCATGGTCGATGGAAAATCTGAGTGAAGATAGCACTTACACAACTGCTGCTGTTCACCAGCTTTCAAACATTTCCTCTGCACAAAACAGCAGGGTAACCAGGAGGGTTTGCTATCAAAGTCTGCTCTGAAATACTTCTGAAGATTCTCTGATTAAGTGAAAATATGCCAAAGACTTACCATGTATTTAGAAACTCAAAACTTCCATATGCTTTTCTAACTGTATTTACAGAACATGAGTCATGGAGGTTTCTGTTTTCAGAGGTGCTCAATTGTTAAATATGAAATCCATGAGAAATGGTGGTGGTCAAGTATTTGGAACTGTCCTTGTTTCAGCTGGGATGGAGTGTATTTTCTTTCTAGTAGCTGGTATACTTCTGTGTTTTGGATTTAGGGTGAGAATAATGTTGATAACACACATTCGATAATTGCATTTACAAAACGATTGGAAAAGTTGTCCAATCCCTCAGCCTCTGGAGGCAACTCCTGAGAAGCATGAAGGAAAAGTATACCTTTAAGGAAGATGTCATGTGTCACCCAGGCAAATGGACCACCATAGAGAGAGGTAGCCAGTACCTAAGGGAATTATCTGTTCTGGAGATGATTTATGATGATCTGGACAATGAGTAGTTATCCAAAGATCCAAATGAAGTCAAGTGTACATGACCTGCATGGCAGAAATATGTACAGAGCCCACCATTGTCCAATGCCAACTCAGTGGCAGTAATGACCTGAAAAGATAGAGAGGGACAAACGATGTATGAATTGGCTGGCCAACTCTGGCAAAACAAAGTCTCTCTTCTTCCCTATGGACCTGCATCTTGGTTATGGAGAAACTGTCCCAGGAGTTTCAGCAATTCAAAGAGGATATGTCCTACTCCCCACATATATGGACTAGTATCTCAGCTCTTAGGGGTAAGTGTTCCTCTTTAGAGAAGAGCCAGCCTGTGGTTTTACCTGGGGGACCACTGAGAGGGCATGAAGTGGTACGGAAAAATCTACCTCAACCCTAGTGGCACAGGCATGTGAGTTGCAAGGAAAAACATTCCTAACCTACTGTGGAAGAGGGAGCAAGTGTCTGTGTGCTGTTTAGTTGCCTGCTAGGTTAAACTGCAACAGGAACCTAAAACCTTCCCTTTTTTTGTTCTTACAATTATTTTGTCAAGTCCTGGTGCCTATATCCCTTTTCTGGTGATATTTATTTCACTGTGCTGAAGAATTACAGGTTCACACTATTGTACGTACTAATATTCTATGTTTTCTTTTAGTTCAGTTTTACCTAATGGATTGCTTACAGGTGAGTGAAACCCTGGCCACAAGTCAATGATGTTCATAATCTGACTTACTGAGCGTTGCTGATGGCATGCATTATTATCATACATAAAGTAGGACTCATAAGCAGTATTTCCAAAGCCATGAATGATGACAACTGCAGTGACTTTCAGAATTTGGTATAGAAGAAGAATTACAGTTAGTTGAGACTCCATCAAAGACAAGACATAAAATGCATTGGTTTTTTTTTTATTTGTTTATTTTTGAATTGCAAACTAGTATAAGTCTCTTTGGAAAAGGCCCAAATTAAAAAGACCAGCAATAATCACTTCATTAAAGCTTCTGGTCCCAAGCTGGAAGTAATCTCTTCTTACAATGTGTTTCCAACATTTTCCAAGGAAAAGAAATTAACACTTAAATCTTATGTCAAATTGTCTGTGTAGATATAGTAAATATTTTTATTTTAATAAGATGTCTGCTATAGCCTGGAACCTATCTGCAAGCACAGAAAAGACTGTCAAAACTCACCAGGAGCTGGATTATTTTAAATTAACAAAGGTGATCTTAATTTTTCCCACCACCCATTTTCACTTCCAAAACTAAGGGTAAATGTGTCTTCAAAGTGAAAGTTCTTGTGTTTGGAAATGCTTATTTTTACATGGAAGATTTTTTATAGCAAAAATTTCTCATGAAAATCACTATTTACAATACCTTGGTGTGCTCCAGAAGTAGCAAAATTGGTCAACAGCATCAAATATACTTTAACTTTGTGTTTGGACAGAGGTGTCAAATATATCATCTAACAGACACAGTGAGTACCTTAAAAAATGAAAAAAAAATAATTCACAACAATATAGTGAAAATTATGAAGCTCAACTGGTAACAACAGCTCATCATCTGTTGGTTTCATTTTGGTTTTTATTCTGCACATGATTCTGAATTTTTTCAAACTGAACAATCAAATAATAATGGAAAGCCTTTAAGAATGGGAAGTGAGATGAGAAACATTATTGCATACTTAGGTAAGTATTTATGTTTGCAAAGCTATTTCAAAGAAAGAAATAAATTTCGGACAAAGTTGCCAGCATGTTAAAGATGAACTGCTGGGAATGTTTTTTGGTAGCTTGCAGTAACAGGCATAAATATAAGTTTCATGGTTATAAACAACAGTATGTGGATGTGTTGCATCTATTATGTAGTACAGAAATCTCTGCACTCCTGCATGTGGATATATCTTGAATATATATGAAATATCTTGGATTTTGTAATTGTAAAAAGCTGTTTGCCATTTAAAGTCTGTATCACTTAAGTCCCAACCAGCAAGATTATAACTCTCCAATCCACATTAATAATTCAGTGTGAAATATCTCTGTGACACTTGCAGCCCTGTCAGAGATCGTAAGTGTTTATGTTTTCTGGATACGTTATATTAAAGCAAAAAGCATTAGTATTCTGCATACATCTATAAGTTCTAGTCATGGTGGATATTCTATATTATGAAATCTACCATTTTTAACCCAGCCCTGTGTTATCACTCATGCTGATTTCTGTGCACAGTACTGATTTGTAACAGGCATCTCATGATTAAACTACCCTATCTTGGGCAGGTGATATGGGTGAGGACAAGCAGTAAAGCCCTGAATCCCAAACCAGATTCACTTCTAGACTCTTTATGGGGTATGAGGTTCCTCAAACATGTTGAGTTTGGACCCTCTTGTTAAAATAAAATTTTGTTTCCTGCTTTCTTACATCCTTTAGCTCTCCTCACATTTCCACCCAGTGCCTCCTGCCTGACTCTTAGGGTGACAAGGGGTGCATGCATCTGTCCACTAAAATTTGCTTTAGCCAGAATGACTTAATGGGATATGGCCTAGCTACTGTTTGTCAAATTCATGCATGTCACACTTACAACACAGTCAGCCTCTCGAAAGTAGAGGCTTATGTGATCAAGCCTTCCTTTGAACTTCTGGATTCTCATTAGCAGCACAAAGCTTCGTCATGCTGTTGCAGTAAATCATATTTTAATAACTGTTAAACCCTTTGAACATAAAGTTTATTAATAGTTAAATAGTTAAATAGTAACACTTGCAAGAATTAAGTGCTTTCATTCGAGGCTTTCGACACTGTCCCACAAGACATCCTTGTCTCTAAATTGGAGAGACATGGATTTGACAGATGGACCGCTTAGTGGATAAGGAATTGGCTGGATGGTCATGCTCAAAGAATTGTGGATAACAGCTCAATGTCCAAGTGGAGATCAGTGATCAGGAATTGGTACTGGGACTGGCACTGCTTAAAGTCAGGCACTGCTTAACGTCAGACAGTGGGACTAAGTGCATCCTCAGCAAGTTTGCCGATGACACCAAGCTGTGTGGTGTGGTTAACACGCTAGAGGGCAGGGATGCCATGCAAAAGGACCTTGACACACTTGAGATGTGGACCCATGAGAACCTCATGAAATTCAACAAGGCCAAGTGCAAGGTCCTGCACCTAGGTCAGGGCAATCCCAAGCACAAATACAGGCTGGGCAGGGGCTGGATTGAGAGCAGCCCTGGGGAGAAGGACCTGGGGGTGCTGATTGACAAGAAGCTCAACATGGGCCAGCATTGTGTGTGTTTGCAGCCCATAAAGCCATCTATATGCTGGGCTCCATCAAAAGCAGCATAGCCACTAGGTCAAGCGAGGTGATTCTCTCCCTCTGGTGAGGCCCCATGTACAGTACTGTGTTCAGCTCTGGGACTCCTACCATACCATAAGAAGGACATGGACCTGTTAGAGTGCTGGAGAAAATCCAAAGGAGACCACAAAGATTATTAAAGGGCTGGAGCACATCTCTTAGGAAGATGGGCTCAGCAAGTTGGGCTTGTTCAGCCTTAAGAAGAGAAGGCACAGGGATAAGCCTTTTTCTAAGGAGAAAATGTATATAAGCCTTCCAGTATTGAGGGAGGCCTAGAAGAAATCTGGAGAGGAACTTTTTTATAAGGGCACGTAGGGATAGCATAAGGGTGAATGGCTCTAAACTGAAAAAGTGTAGATTTAGATTAGATATTAGGAAGAATTCTTCACTAAGAGGGTGGTGAGACACTGGAACAAGTTGCCCAGAGAAGCCGCCCCATTCTTGGAAGTCTCCAAGGCCAGGTTGGATGGGGCTTTGAGTAACCTGGTCTAGGGGAAAGTGTCCCTGAACCATGGCAGGGAGGTTGGAACTAGATGATCTTTAAAGTCCCTTCCAGACCAAACCATTCTATGATGATTCTATGATGGAGCATCAATACTTAGGGCTTAAACCCATTAGATGCTCACTAGCTATTCCCTAATGTGGGGACTGGTGTTGGAACAGGGCTGATTGTTTTGAATACTGAACAAATGCATTAAGTAATAGTAGAAATAAAGGGTTCCTGTCCCAGAATTTACATTTTAAGAACACAGGCCTGAAGAGGAACATCGAAATGAGGCAAAATACACAAACTGTACCATCACAAGATTCCTTTTCCATCTCATGATTGTTGCTATTTTTTGAAGGGATGGGGCTCTCTCTTGGGATTCAGCATTGGCGGGCAAGGATAAGCCAAATTTAAAGACAACTAGAAAAGAAGGTATACTGTAAATGGACTGGATGAGGCAGGTGTTAGCAGACACAGATTGAAGCTACAAAAGAATGATGAGCATTAGTGGAACAGGGGAGCAGAAGGGGCAGGGAACTGAGAGAAAACTGTCCTGCTGGCTGCCTGGCTAGTCCCACCAAATCACCACACTACCTGTGTTTCTGCTGAAGCTCCTTGCTCTGCTGCCTCAGGAGTCTTCTCAACCCGCTGGTCCGGGTTTGTTTAGAAATGCTGGCCCTCATAGGGGAAGGAGTAAGCAGAATTGTTGTGTGTCACTGGGCTGTACTGCCTTGGAAGCAGTTGACCACAGTGGGCTGGAGGATGCAGAGGTTTAGAGGGTTATGACTTTAGTGGGGCTGCATCTTTACAACTGTACCCTGCAGGAGTGTGAGGGGGTTGCTTTCCTGTCTGCTCTAACATTCCCTTCCTAAAATGCTTCACATCAGCTATAGAGGAGGCACTAAGCACCTAATGGGTGCCATTAGTCACAGCCCTAACAGCGTTGGAGGACACACAGCAAGCCAGCAGACAGGGACAGCTGTCTCTCTGTGATTCTTCTGCTAATAAGTTATATAGGAGCAAATCTCAAGTCCCACTGAAGTCCATGGCAATGCACTTGCCAACCTACTTAAAAGCTGGAGTTAGTCCTTTGAGTGCCAAGGCATATTCTGTGATTTGAATCAATAGCCTCCTTCCACTTACACCACCAAAACTATATTTTCATGTTTGGTTATGCTTATGGAGAATAATTGCTGAGGGCTCATGTGTGTCAAGGGCACTTTTTTTTTTTGTTTTCCCAAGTAGATCACCACACATCAACAGTCTAAACAGTTCACAGTGATAAGCCCTAATTCTGGGGAGAAATATGGCTATTTTCATTACTAAAGACAATGATCCATGTCCAAAACAGAATATTGGATGTCAGTGGGAAAATATGAGTTTGTTGGGTTTAGGTGTTTTTGTTGTTTTTTTTTTTTCTTGTGTATAGAAAAAGCTGGTTTAGGTTTTTTAATGTTCAAAGGGATAAACTAGGATTTGTAATCTTGACTTTTGTCATACATGCTCTAGAAGCATTTTATAATTGGTAGTTTCAAAGGTCCATATAAGAAGTAGATTCCATATAAGAAGTAGATTTCTTGTAACTAATTGTAAACATCTGGTGAATTAGATGAAGTTTTCTGTATAGTCAATAAATAACTTTTTACAGTCGGTAAGCAACTGCATTAGAGTTTCTGATACTGCACATCTTTTCAGATCAGTTAACTAATTAGAGACAAGAGCAATGTGTGCACACTGTGCTTGTGCCGACCTCTGTGCAATGATTTAATAGCTGTGGCATTCATTTCCACTAATGCTTTCAGTGTCAGTGGAGGATCACAGCAGAATCTCCCTTTCTGCTAGCAAAAATTCTGCTCGAGAGCAAAACCGCTTCTTTCCAAGACCCTTCTTGCAGTTTTCACATCTACTGCATGATATTGGTTCTTAATATTCTGCATGCTTTGTGTTAAGTAATTCCAAACTGTTTAACCCTTTAATACAATATCCAATCATGTCCATAAGGTCCAAGATTTCATTAATGTATACTTAAGGCTACTACAGGGAAGGGATAACCTCTCCTGCTCATACAGTAGACCAATGGCAGAGATAAAGCCCAAGTTCATGGCTTTCTACAGCATCAGTCTATGCATTTTATACTAGCCTTGTCACTTTATCAAAAGGGAGGCTGTAAGGTGTGTCTTGTGCTAGTCATGCAATGGTAAAGCAAGCTGATGTGACAGGGTTCAGAACTGGAAGTTGGTGATAACTAGGTTTATTGTGAAGTGCAATGGTTTTTGTATAGTAGCTGTCAATTGCTGTTATCATTATAAAAGATGTGATTGTTACTGTAGATCCTTGGCAGAATGGTGAGTAACCACAAATAAAGGGACTGGTAAGGGGTTGGAATAGGTGACCTCTAGAGGTCCCTTTCAATCTCAACTATTCTGTAGCTCTGTTTTTTAAATAATTTGGACAATATGAATAATCCTTTGCTTTATCTAATAAGCCAAATAGGGTATTGTTTTTTTTTTCTCTTTGAGCAGAATCACCTTTATTGCATATTTGCCACTGGTAGAGATCCTGCCTGCATCCAGTACTGTTCAGTTGGTATATATATAGGTAGGATGTATTAGAAATAGTTACAAAGTGTGCTGGAGGGGACAGAGAAAGGTTATGCAATCCATGTTCCTGCCTTAGGACAACCTTTTCTTGTTTGCCAAGCTATCTGAGAGCTGGTGCTAACAGTCAAACATTAATTGCTCAGAAATATTTTGCTGATCATCAGAATTAATTATTATAGAACCACAGAGGTTGGAAAGGACCCCTTGATGTCTGTCCAGCCTCCTTCTCAAAGCAGTTTCAGCTGGAGCAGATTGCTTAGAGAGATGTCCTAGTGGGTTCTGAATCTTCCTAAGGATGGACACTCCACAGCCTTTCGAAGGAATATGCTCCAGTATTTGATCACTTTCATGGGAATTTATTTTCTTGGTAAAGTATCTATTCAGAATTTTCCTTGTTCCAGCTTGTGTCCATAGTCTTCTGCCCTTCCAACAAGCACCATTTTCTCTATCCTTACCACCATGTAGTTGTGTTATGATGATGGTTTATTACTTGCATTGAAATAGACCCCAAAGAACCAATACTGCAGTCTCACTGCTCTTCTGTAGAGCTGCAAGAGAACAGTGCAACCCCTTTATAGAGAAGTGTATTGTTTTTTAGTTGTTATAGAGAAGTGTATTGTTTTATAGTGCCTTTGAATAGTTGCTAGAGAAAATAAAAGAAACACTGTCACACTGCAGTGAAGGGATTAAAAAACCTTTTCCTATTTTGTAACATTTTCCAAGGAATGGCAGCGTTACACATTAACATTTATGAATCAAGAAACCTACTTAACTAGATTACCTAGCAGCATTATTTCACTCTGCTAAAACTTGGAAAGAGCAAGTTAAATTGCTCTGTTTCTATTACTGAGCCTCCATTAAGGAAAAAACCTGCAAAACTCTGCGTGTGTGCATGGGCTGGGGAACGGGGAGTTTAATGCACGCAATTTGTGTGTCTGGTGCATGTGCACAGTAATCCTTTCACTTACAGCATTTTATCACTTTATAGTTTTGTGAACATGACTCTCCAGGCATAACTGTCCATGAGTGTATATAATTTAATGTGCTTACATGGGCTGATCTCCTGGCTCCCCTTAATAACCATAGAAGAGGAAAAGTTACTCTGTAACTACAAATCCCTAATGTGCAGATAGAAAAAATGGAAGAAATTCCAGGAAATCTCGAGCTTTTACCTCAGTCAGCAGTAAAACCTAGTTAGATTTTACAAGTCATGCTAATTTTCAAACACATACTGACAATTTTCAATCTTCAAACTTCCATACTGGCACAGATTGACTTTAATGCCTCTTGTTATTCAGAAGGTTCTCTTGGGCTTTTACGATGGCCCTGTGTTAGAAATCGGTGGCTCCCCAATGATCAGTGATCTCCAGGTTACATGCAAAGTACAGAGTACATTCTCAATTAGCACTATATCTATGCACATGTTGTTTCCAAAGGGCTAATCTTCCAAAATCAGGAAGGAATGAAGAAAAATGGACGTTGATTGCAAAGAACCATTTTATATAAAAAATGTGAAAGGAAATTAAATCTTTATGATTATTGTAAAATCAGGAAGCTGCATTCTGTCATCAAGAAAAAAGACTCTTCATGGGGAAAACTAGTCTTGGTTCAATGAGGAAATAAAAATAACTATTTGACATAAAATATGAAAATGGTGAGGGAAATATGTGTAGTGATAAATATAAATAACTTACTTTGGAAATCGATAACAGGAAGCTAGAACTATGAGGAAAATTCATGGCATTTCCTACATATACTTGCAGTAAAAACAAAAACACATAGTGATGGCATAGGCCTTTCTAATTTGCAATGCACAAATCATTAAAATAAAAAATGTATTTGGTGCAGGGTTCTAGTCATTTTTTTAAAAGTGACTTCAGGAGATTCAGCTAAAAAAAAACATTCTTCCACTTGATGGCAACTGTTATTTTTCAACAGAGGTGTTTTCATCTGGAGGGAAATGAGTAAGGTACAGTTCATTTGGTACCTAGTTTTGGTGAGATCATCAACTAGGCCAAAAAATATACTGCTATGTCAGGGAGTGAGATGCAGTATTACGTACCTGCCCCAAGCATGAGTTGGGAGTCAGGGACAAACATACTCTTATAGCATTACAGAAATACTCCTCAGCACCCTGGAGCCAGGGCAATACGTTTAACTGGGCTATAAAGTAGGGAGTATTTCATGTCAGGCTTATTTTTTAATTTTCTACATGGCTTTCATTCAGTACTGCTTTGTAACTGAAAATCTTTATGGTTCAATTTGGGATGAAGTATTTTCTGGTAGTTTCCCATTTCACTGATGACCAAGTTATAGTCTTTCAAACAATCTAACAAAAGAATCTGCCTCACCAGAATTTTGATGCAGATCCATCCTAACACATGCAGTTCTATTTCAGTATTGGACTGGGGGGTCATTTAACATTCTGCAGATCGCAGAGCTGTGAGCAGAAAAATCCCTCGCAAATACTATGTCTGGATTATTTTTTATTTTTTTTAATATATAAACCCAACAAAACAAATACCAACTCTCCCCCCACAAAAAACATTCCTTTGTCTATGATGTTTTCTGTATATTTATGGTTATAGTTTATGCTACATGGGTGGCTGCCATTCCCTCTACACCTGATGACCAGCCCATAACAGCCCCTACGCCTCTGGCCAGCCATGGTCCTGTGCACTAACCACATAGCATCTATGGGCAGCAGAGCTAGTTAACCCTGATACAGGTGTCACAAACCAAATGCAAGGTGTGAGAGAATGACTTCCACTACCTAACAATGGATAGCATCATCTAGGGGACATAAGGAAAATTTGAACACTGAATTTGAAAATTTTAGGGAAGAGAGATTTTCATGAGCTATTGCTATTTTAAACAGCATGCCTCAGTAGGAGAGGATGCGAGCAGAGGCACTCTTGTTACTGTGAACACAAACCTGGTGTTTGTGTGCTTCCAGAAACTTCATGTAGGACTGGCTCTGCTTGGGTCCGTGGGGGTCTTGCCTGCATGGTTATCCTGCTCTAGATGACTGCTGCCGGGTGGCCGCTGGCTGGAGCAGGGCAAATTCTTTACTGTCAGGGTGTTGAAATAGAGAAGCTGTGGCTGCCCTATCCCTGGCAGTGTTCAAAGCCAGGTTTGACGGGTTCTTGAGCAACATGGTCTAGTGGAAGGTGTCCCTGCCCATGGCAGGGGGGTTGGAACTTAAGGTCCCGTCCAACCGAAACCATTCCATGATTCTATGACCGGTCCAGGCCCTGCTCTCGGCCCGTCCAGGCAGAGCACCCCGTACCCGCCGCCTGCCTGCTCGGGAGCGGCTACCGGCCCAGCTGCCCCCGGAGCACAGCGGCCTCTGTCCGGCTCCAGCACCGCACTGTGCCGCCGCGCCCGGGGCAGGGCGGGCAGGCGGAGCACGGGCAACCCGGCGGGGGCGGGAGGCGGGAGGAGCGAGGCCGGCAGGGCCGGGTCGGCCCGGGCTGTGCGGGGCCGGCCGCAGTGCCTGCCCGCAGAGCTACCGGCCGGGAGGCTCCGTGCCCAGCAGAGTCGAGCTGGTGCTTTAGTCAGACTTTCTCTGCCCCTCTTCTCGCCTGCAGCCCTTAGCATGGCCGGGGCTCCGCTGGGGGACCTGCTTTCCTTCCGTGCCTTCCGGGCCGCCTGCCCCGCCGGGTACGAGTATGGGTATGGGTACGGCGGCGGCCTGTCCGGCCTCCGGGAGCGCGAGTTCCCCCGGCTCCGAGGTACCGCGGGACGGGCACAGCCCAGAGGGGCGGGTGAGGGGCGGGTCGGGGGCGGGGGAGGCTCATGCGGGTCCTGGCTCGCCTTGTCGCCGTGCAGGAAGTTTCTGTCATGAGGCAGCGGAGGCAGAAAGCACCGGTGTCACCTCCCTGCAGGGAGCCACAGGGCGGAGGGGCTAGGAGCAACCCCGCTTCTTCTCTTTCTTCTCCTTGTCCTTCTCTCTGTTCTCCGGCACAGTGCCTCGCAGGTGCCATGAGTTCAGTAGAACAGGATTTAGGTACAGCAACAACACTCAGAGATATTGGGACGGAGGGAGGGCAATTAAATTGGTAAAACAGCCTCTGTCAAGTAAAGGTTTGTGGTTAGATAGGTCTTTGTAAACTACTTTTGCAGGTTAGATTTCTGCTGCCCCCAGTATTAAACATTGCTTAGGCATATTACTTCAAATCTTCTAATGGTAATGGGTATACTACAGTAATTTATTTTACTTGAAGAGATAGCAATGCCTGTGATAATAGCACTTCAAAATACTTAGGGGTAAAAACAGAGTAGGGAGCAGAGTAAATAGCATCAGTTTGGATGCCCTAAGACTGTTATTTAGGCCACTTTCCTATCATGGTTCTTTTTTGTTATGTCTTTGAGTTTTGGTGGTAAAATGCAAAGCAGGCTTTCTCTCCCATGTATTTCTAAATGCACACATGAGTATCTACTAAAGAATGGAGTTTCACTTTGCCTTTGAAGGGATGTGGAAAGAAAAACTTATTTACAAGCAACAGTTCAAGGAACTTTAATATTCAGTAAGTTAATTTCACAGTCTGCTATTTGTCATACCAGTTGCATCACCAAAAGTTTGCTAACAAGAAACTGCTTGTCCTTACATTCAGGGCAGGATTCTGAAAACTGGTTATTTGTAACTGAAACAGTTAACTGGAACATTGTTTGGATGTTTAAGCAGATGACTTTTCACAGCACCTGAGGATCAGGCACATTTATTGTGAGGCTCCCCAGTTTTGAAGCAAAGTATATCTGCTAAGGAATGGTGGCTGGTATGTTAGCCAGGGATCCCAATGGAGGTCACTGCAAAAGCAGAGCCTTAGGAGTTTACATCCATGAAGAAGATCAGTGTCCTTAACTGATTGCTGTACTTACATATGGCGTCCTTTATGGGATTTTTGTCGTAAAAACAGGGGCATATCTGTAGTCACAAACTTGCATCTTCAAGTGTTACCAGTAATGCCACATGAAAGGTGTCCAGAGACAGATTCCTGGGCCAAGAGTGTAAGGCTAAGTGTCCCCTGCCTTACACATCTGTTTGTCTCACAGCTGACCAGTTGGAGTAGTCCAAGACAGAGTCCAGGAAGTGGCTGACAGCAGAGCAGTGTGGATGAGAAACATGTTGTTCATACTTATTCCTTGGCATCCTTTTATTTAGCCATGTAGCTGTATCCCCACTTGCTGAAGGTCTAGACACATTGATGTTGGTGTCTTAAAGCTCTAGCTCTTTGCTGCCTTGCTGAAAGAAGGCAAAGGAAAGGTGGCTGACGTATGGGTTAGCAGCAGCAATTACTATTATATATTACTATTCTGTATTTCTATATAGTAAAGCACCTTCTCCAAGTGACTTATAAAAAAATTAGCGGGCCTTTCAGGCATTTACTACTTAAGCATTTCCAGTGACATTCTAGAACATGCAGGCTGGGGGATGAGGTAGGAGTTTTACACCTCTGATGGCCTTGGGTCAACTTTATAGGTGAGTCCTGAATGTACAAATGATGATTCACCAAGGAACCTGTAGCTGTTCATGAGGTTGGTCTCTGCTGGGTGTTTCCCTGATGTAAAAAGATGCTGCAATTTAATCTCTTCTAGTAAAGAGCAAGCTTAACTAGTTCCACTAGGCAAAAAAGAATGAACTTTATTTGTAGGTAGCTAATAGTAATGCCTTGCTTTGTCTATTTGGGGCATGCCTCATATATCATTTCCATCATTTCCATCATCTCCATCATTTCCATCCGCCTGACCAATTTGGTGGCCTTCTATGATGGGGCTACGGAACTGATGGACAGGGGCAGGACAGCTGACATCTTCTACATGGACTTGTGCAAAGCGTTCAACACTGTCCCACATGACATCCTTGTCTCTAAATTGGAGAGACATCAATTTGATGGATGGACCACTTGGTGGATAAAGAACTGGCTGGATGGCCACATGCAAAGAGTTGTGGTCAATTGGCTCAATGTCCAGTTGGAGACCAGTAACGAGTGGTGTCCCTCAAGGACTGGTGTTGGGACCGGCCTTGTTCAACGTCTTTGTCGCTGACATGTACAGTGGGATTGAGTGCGCCCTCAGCAAGTTTGCCGATGACACCAAGCTGTGTGGTTCGATTGATACGCTGGAGGGAAGGAATGCCATCCAGAGGGACCTTGACATGCTTGTGAGGTGGGCTGATGCCAACCTCATGAAGTTTAACCATGGCAAGTGCAAGGTCCTACACCTGGGTCGGAGCAATCCCAGGCACAGCTACAGGCTGGGCAGAGAAGAGATTCAGAGCAGCCCTGCGGAGAAGGACCTGGGGGTGTTGGTTGATGAGTAAATGAACATGAGCCGGTTTCAGTGTGTGCTCGCAGCCCAGAAACCAACCGTAGCCTGGGCTGCATCAAAAGGAACGCGACCAGCAGGTCCTGCCCCTCTCCTCTGCTCTGAGACCTCACTTGGAGTATTGTGTGCAGTTCTGGTGTCCTCAACATAAAAAGGACATGGAACTGTTGGAACAAGTCCAGAGAAGGGCCATGAGGATGATCAGGGGACTGGAGCACCTCCCGTGTGAAGACAGGCTGAGGAAGTTGGAGCTGTTCAGCCTGGAGAAGAGAAGGCTGCATGGAGACCTCATAGCGGCCTTCCAGTATCTGAAGGGGGCCTTTAAGGGTGCTGGGGAGGGACTCTTCATTAGAGACTGTAGTGACAGGACAAGGGGTAATGGGTTCAAACTTAGACAGGGGAGCTGGTGAAGCACTGGAATGGATTGCCCAAGGAAGTTGTGGATGCTCCATCCTTGGCAGTGTTCAAGGCCAGGTTGGACAGAGCCTTGGGTGATATGGTTTAGTGTGAGGTGTCCCTGCCCATGGCAGGGGGTTGGAACTAGATGATCTTAAGGTCCTTTCCAACCCTAACTATTCTATGATTCTGTGGTTAAAGTTGGATAAAAATCCAGATATTGCATCTCACTTTTTATGTGAACAGAATTTTTTAGAGTCCCTCACCCCCCATGAGTTAAGCCTAATGCTCAATTTTGGAAGTGTCATCTTTGTATGAGGAGCATGTGATAATAATAATTATTGCTTATCAATGTAATTACTTCTTCCTCATATTTGGTGGCATCTGCCAAGGATATCTTGTGCAAATGGTGTTCTCTGGGGAATTCAGAAACCTTTTCTGTGTTATAAACCTTTACTTGCATGGGGCTTGTGCTCTTGTTATAGCTCTAGTGTGAATAATTGCACAAGTATCTGTTGAGAAGGTACTACAGATGCTTGTAGGGAACACCAGTTGCTGGACATACTATAAAGCTAGGATTTTTCAGAGGTGGTCTACTGGTGGTCTTATCAAAGTCTGCAGGAGTTTCACTCTTGGCTCCATCAGAAGTAAAGTTAGTCTCTCAATATGTGTGTTGGAGATTTTCCCTTCAGGTTTTGGGAAGGGATAAGAGGAACTACTTTACTTCCTTGAATCAGCAGGGGTCTGTCTTTTTTTGTCACAGAAGCCTTACATTTTACCTTTTAAACCAAAGTTTATCTTTACTTTTGTAATTCAAGGGCTGTTAGCTGGTGGCTAGAGCAGCCCCTTCTAAAAATATATGTGGAGTCTGTGAAATGGATCCCTGTTTCACAGGCAGCAGCGTATGCACAATATGTGACCTTGACTTTAATCTTGTGAGCAGCACACCCTTATCTGCAATGTAGGACTGTAAATTGTGCTTTAGAAAAGGATAAAGAAATCAGCGGGAGGTTATAGGTTCTGTTGTTAAGTAATAGGAATGAATGTGCTTCTGTGATATTTATCATAGGAAATAAAAAATCAGCTTCAGTTTGTATCATGGTTTTAAAAAAGAAAAAGCTGGCATGTGATTTTCAATGCAGCATTTAATCCCAAGATACCTTTCCAGTTTCGGTTGTGTGCCAATATTCTCAGCTCAGATAGTTGTGTCCATTTCAGCGGGAGCTTTCCAAGAGTGATAAGCAGTGGATACCCATCCCCCAAATAAAAATCAGTGCGTATTAGTGATCACATATTCTTTAAGGCCTGCTGACTATTTGAAGATAGTCTTTAACAGAGGCAAAAG